AGTGGGCCTGGGAGAGGGAAGAAGAAGAAACTTTCTGGTTAATGGGCAAGGTTAAAGCGGAGGAAAAAGTCCTGCGAAGGCTGCCAGTTCTGCATTTATACAGGCTTTTAGCTGCTGGGAGGGGTGCTTCAAGGGAAAGAGGGGGGAATCTTCTGAAGGTGCTTTGGCCCATTCCCCCACCACCTTAGAGGGAAGATGGGCAAGGGTCTGATGCTCTCAAAAAGATGATGACTCTTGTGACTGCTCCACCCCTGCACACACATCTTGGGGTGCAGCAACTAAGCCTGAGCTGGGGTCAATCCCCTATACCTTCCACACAGGCCTTCCAGGTATAGACACTGACAATCTCATCAGCACACCAAAAAGAGGTAAGGGTAATGGAAGCTAAGGCTGGGCACCAAGGCCTTGGTTACCGCTGCCTTATGCCCTCCAGTGTCCTAGGCAAAGGCTGCGAGTTGATTTTCAGTGGGTACCTGTTACTGCTGTAGCCATTTGGTCACCTGCACTGACCTTGGGGTAAAGGGGTTTAGAGAAATCAAAGCCACCGAAGTCTCCATTTTCCTTTTTCTTAGGGTGCCTTTAGTGAAACCCTGAAGATCTGAAGCCTCAGACCCAGAATGAGGAAGCAAACTAACTGGCTGCCCCCACTCCAAGCACAGAAGCCTTATCTGCGTACCTGGCCCAAAGCTGGGGACTGTCAGACCTTGGGAGGCCCAGCGTGAGAGTCAGAACCGACGGTCTCCTGGGGCAGCTGATATGCAAAAGAGAGGCCGGAAAGACAGGGAGAAGGAGAAAGAAAATTCCTAGCACAAAGGCAGAATCGATTTTGCAAATAAATTTACTCTGTTGCTGATTCTCGGGGAGGCTTCTTTTGGGGATCCCACAAGTCCCAACTTTTGTAAAAATGAAACCACAACGTTTTCAAGGGAGCCAGCCGCCCCTGCCAGTTTTACCCAGCCTTCTAAAGTAAGTCCAGCGAATGGGGGGGGGGACCGACAAAAGGAAGGGGAAAGTGAGAAAGAGGGAAAGTGAACCAGGCTCTGGGTTTTTTGTTTGTTTTTTTTTTTCTTTTTTTCTTTTTTTTTTCTTTTTTTTTTTTTAGCACAAGGCTGAGGGGGCGGTAAAGCGACCTAAGGCAGAGTCAAGTTGTTACGGAAGCGAACATTTTTATCAAGTGCGGGGGATTTTATGGTCATGATTTGAGGACTCACTGGTGAGGGAGAAATTCAATGACTTGTTCTAAATCATCCCTTCACCGTGCCAGAAATTTCTGATGGAAGGAAAATGTTTCTGTTATAAGAAAAAACAAGAAAGAGCACGGTGATAATTTATAAACACCCAACGGAGCGTAGATTTATTGGAGAAACTGAAGTTGAGGAGACACTACGCTGGCTTCTTTGCACCTGGTCCTGAGGGAGAAAGAAGCAGCTACAGCTGGGGTCATTTTGCGGGAGTGGGGGTGGCTTGCTTTTCCCCCACTCCCAGCTCCTGTTGGAGGCAGGTTCCGACTGGGCCGAGAGGAAACTGAATATTGGGAATCAGCCGATAGGGTTGTGAGCGGTCGTCAGAGCGATGGCCTCCGAACGAAAAGTCCAGGCCTCCAGCTGCTGCATCGCAGAAGGACCAGCTTCCCCACGGATCCCGAGAATGAGGGCCAGGGGCAGAACCTGGGCACGCGGGAAGGAGCCGCGGCTGGCTCCCACCTGGAAACCCGGGAGCGCGCGGAAAACTCACCGGCTGCTCCTGTCCAGAACACACGCAGGGTTTTGACTGAACCTCCCGAGGGGTTGCTGCAGCGTCCCCTCAACCCGCCTCCCTGGGGAGACCCTGTTCGAGCCTGGGTGGCCAGACACTAGCCCAGTCCAGACTGGACGCCTACAATGGCGCTGGACTCAGCACCCAGGTGCTGCCGGCCCTCTGACTTGGGGCACCATGGAATCTTCATCACAGCTAGGTCCCCATTCCTCCCAAATTTGAGGAATCTGAGGGATAGCACATCAGATTCGCTCCCCAGCAGGTGTGGGCAGCCTGCCTGGGGTAGTAGCTTCCTCTTCAAGAGACCTGCTGGCTTACCCTCCTCACCTGACCCGCTGGCCTGCCCTTCATTCCTCTCACCATCACTTCGGGGAAATCTCATTTTTCCAAGACAGTTCTCCTCCTTGATTTGGGCCCATTATTTCTATATTTCTATTATTGATATTATCCCCGGTTTCCACGCGTTTCCCGCCCCACCAAACACAGCAACTGGGAAACAGCCGTCTTGGTGTGAAATTCAGAAAATGAACCATTTGAGAAGAGAGAGAAACGCCACTATAATTGAAATACATACAATAGGGGAAAGGGCCATAACAAACCCTATATTTTTATTATGTGCAGATTATTCATGACTTTTGGTAGCTCTCAGCTCCTAGATGTAGGGCCGAACAAGGTGCTGTGTGCAGCCGAAGGAGCCCTCAACCGTAACACTAGAAAATTTCACATGGAGCAAGGGTGCCATCTAGCGGCCACTCGGCAAAAAGACGTCCTCTTTCATCTCAGCCAGGTTCTCTGAGAACCAACATAAGAAGCGACAAAGGATTAAACTTTCATTATTACTAGACATAAGGGGGGAAGAAATGAAATCAGATAAGAGAAGGGCTTCGGAATTAGGAAACTGTTCACGAAACAGTTCAGATAAGTTCAAAGGAATAGAACCTATAAATCCACCCAGTCCCTAATTTCTTTGGGAGCCGCTAAGCCGTGCACTGCTCTTGGTCAGTAAGTGGACCACTTTTCAAGGCCTCCACGACTGTTTCACATGCTGAGGGGTAACAACTGAGCTTTTTGTGAGGGATGAGAGGTCTGCAGTGATGGAATGGAACTGAAGAAGGATCAAGAAGCTACTCTACCTCAGATGTCTGGTCCTGCTAGTTCGTGTTCGTGTGTGTGTGTGTGTGTGTGTGTGTGTGTGTGTGTGTGTGTGTATGACCACATGTGTTTGTGACTGGCGCTTCTAGAGGGTCGTGTAAAGAACAAAGACAACAGACAGAATTTCGATGGCTGAAGCTTTGGGGACAGAAAAGTGTTCTTCCCAGCTGATAGCTTCTTTACTTTTTAATCCTCTGAACCTCATTCCTTTACCCCGATTCCCAAGTTCCAGGCCCCAAGCCCCAGACCTGGGGGCAAGAGGGGTGAGGGTGGGGGCTTCATAACAAGGCCCACCCATTCTCCCACCAGGTCCCAAGCCCAGGCTCAGGCCCGGCTCATCTCCGGAAAGTTTCCCCTCGGTGTTTGCTTTGCTGCTGTTTAGTTTCTTAACCTTCAAAAATTTATACCCTATAAACTTTTATAGCGGTCATATTCTTTTATTGCTGCGCACACGGCATTGAATTCCTCTCCCAGCTTCTCTTCTCTCTGCCTCTCACTCTCTTAGTCTCTCTCTCTCTCTCTCTCTCTCTCTCTCTCTCTCTCTCTCTCTCT